ATCGTAAAATTGCCACGTAAGTGTCTGGAGTGTCTGGTATAGTCTAATTTTTCATCATTTGCCCTTGTAATATTAACACGCATTCGTTTCCAGTTCTCAGCTTAGAAGAGGCTTTGTCGTGTATTCCATTATCCATAACATATTCTCCGGACTGTACTAAATCGAAGACCACTACAAAGGTTAATGGTGACCCACCGACAAGTGTACAACTATGGGGCGACTTCTTCGATAAAGTGAATCAATTCTGCTTCGACCAACAACTTATATTCGAGAGGCCACAATTTAGCCAAGACAGAGAAGTAGATAATGAAGAGGATGTTCGTGATGCCTTGAATTCCAACATTTGTTTGGTGTTAAATAGACTTATGGGATCAGAATATAAATTTTCAAGACGTTTACCTAATACTCCTGGTGTACCGGACTTCACCTGTCATCTCGTAGGTTCATTGATCTTGGTGATTGAGGCTAAAAGAAAGCATGTTTTAGAAGATATGGGAGAACAGACATTTCCCGAGTTTTATAATACAAGTAAGGGCAAGGATGTGATTCAGCAAATCTATAATTATATGGGAGGAAACGAACTTAGATATGGTATTCTTACCACCTATGATAATCACTGGTTTCTATGCCGAGAACACACGAAGCTCTGGATCTCAAAAACCCTTTCACTGGAATCCGAATCTCTACCCATACTCAAGGCATATGCTTATCTAACTCGACAGGCGAAAGAGAATCCCAACTCTCCTAAACCTCAAGTACTAGTGCCGGCTCAAGGGGATAATAATTCATGTACTCTTCGATTAAACTCAAAATCATCATCCAGCTCTTCATTAACTAATCAGGCTTCCAGCACCTTTTCGAATCAACAATCATCTTCTAACGTCCCAGTAAACCAGCAAAAGTTTAGCTTCGCAGACTTCAAGTTTAAGAGCATACTAGGTGAAGGATGAAGTGGAAAAACGCTCCTATGCAAATTTTGTGGCGAAATGATTGCTTTGAAGAGTGTAGACTTATCGAAGGTCCCATCGTATGTCCTGGAAGAAATGCAAAAAGAAGTAGAGTTGTATTAAGATCTAGCTGATATTCAAGGCAAGTATATCCCAAAGCTGGTCTGTTATGGATATTATGGAGGAGGTATGAGCTTCGTTATTAGCTTAACCATTGTTGGTAATATGTTAAGCGACCAAAAAATAATGGAACAGCAAAAGGCAAGGGCTATTAAGGAATTGGAAGCAATTCACAAACATGGCATCCTCCATAATGATATTCGGGAGGAAAATATCTTAATTAACGATAAAGGTGCCCTATACCTGATTGACTTCGGGATGGCAAGCCGGGAGGATACAAAAAAGAAGAGAAAGCTTTTCTAGGAGGAACAGCTCAAATTATCTCAATTGCTAGATGGATATATTGTGTAAGAGTCTAACTATTTCGCAAATTACTGTATTGTGGTTTCCTGTAATCCTAGTGTCTTATAATTAATAATCATGTATTTTACAGACATTTCGTAAAGAAGGAGGGGCGAACTTCCAAGTCACGTAAATGTAAGGTGGTTAGTTAGACTGTAGGATTAGACATTAGCATAGACGTCATGTATCAGTTATATCACGGGCTAAGTCCCGATCTTGTATTTATTTTTTGCATGTATTAATAAAAATTTTCTTGGCATTTTTAATGTTGAGAGTCTCAACCCAAAAAACACATTTTTTTATTTTGAATGCTTATATACAGTGTATTAGTTTTATATATTATAGATCATGTCATCCGAGCTTGAATTATTGAAACAGCGTATCACTGAGCTTGAGGCTGAGAATATTGAGATTGCAGAGCTCAAGAAGGAGAATGCAGAGCTTAGAAAGGAGAATACTGATTTTAGAATGAAGTTCGCTAACTTTAAGGCTGAGAGAGCTGAACTTAAACGCAAGATTGCTGAGACTCTAAGAATGACTGAGGAAGAGAGAACGAGGCGTGATGCTGAAAATGTCAAACTCAGGGCCACAATCGAGGAGTTGAGGAAAAATAATACTAAATAGAGCGCTGAGCTTAGAGATAGAATTACGAAAGTGGAACAGAACCAGTCGCTAAATGATAATTCTTCTAACAACAGTTTACCTAGCTTCAATTCAGTTGCAGATCAGGTGCCAACGGTAACGCATCACGAAAAACCATTGGTGGATACTTCATTACCTGAAGACAGTGATGTACATGGGACATGTCTGCCTCATATTGAACGGACTGGACATTCCGGGACATTGTCCAACTGTCCATGTCCTGCTATGTCCCAAAAAGCCGATTGTCAGGGGAACATGTCCCACAAATTTTTTTCATTATCCCCTGCGTCCCGGACGTCCAAAATTTGGAAAAAAAATTTATTTGATCGATTTTATCGATCTTTTTTTTTAGCGATAAATAAATTCTTTCTAAAAAATTTTTAAACGGTAAATAAAAATGTTTTTTTTAAAAAAAAATAATAATATATATTTTTTTTTTTAACCAATAAATATCTTATATACCGCTTAAATTTTTGCTTCTTCTTTTTTAAAAAAAAAGACATGCCACCGTTGCCAGCAATTTTAAACGACTATATTATTAAAACTAAAGAGAAACTCAACCAAAGTAATCTTAAAACTTATTGTAGATGTTGCATTGAAGCGTTAGGAGAAGAAGTGGGAAGGAGGAATTGTTTTCCCAATAAAACAGATAGAATAGTACTTCATTTAAAAAAATGTAGCTATTTTTCTGCAAAAACAACACCTGAAATACAAAATGAAATTTTTTCATTAATAACAAAGAATAATGATTTAGAGAATTTAGAATTATTAGGCAAACGAAAATGTAAGCAATTCATATTTCTATTTTTTTATTACAACCTTTTTTTCTGAATTATTTTTTTTACAGCTATACAAGATGTTCCTTCTTATCAATCTTATGGTACGGCTTCCACTACTTCATTTCTTCTCTATTCTTCTTGACGAAAGGTTGTTGTGTGAAGTTCTTCCTATGGACTATTAGATAATTTTATCGTTAGATCGCTATCAAAAAAAGATAAAGAAAAATTTTATATCCTGTTAATTTGATTAACAGTCGCTTGTGGATGGGCTTTGCAATGGTTTAACAAACCCTAGGCAAGAGAGTTATTTGAATTTCTTAACCCTTTTCTTAAGCTCCCTGATCGCAGAAGTCTTGGTGGAGAAATTTTAAAAGATGCTGTTGCTGAAGGAGACAAAGTAATGGAAATTGCATTAAAAGAAGATCAAACAGGCGTAACTCTTACATTTGATGGGTGGACGAACGTGAGAAATGAACAATTGTTAGGTGTTGTAATTATGACATCAGAGGGAAGACCATATGTATGGAAGGCAGTTGATATTAGTTTAGAAAGGGAAACGCATGTTGAAGTGATGGAAAAAACCGAAGCTATGATTTCTGATTTAAAATCAAAAGGGGTTAATGTTTGTGCCGTTGTAACAGATAGTGCAAGTGCATATGCTGCGGCTAGGTAGGTATTTTTATTCTATTTGATATTTAGTACAATTAATATAATAACAATATGACTATTTAAACCTTAGGCGAAGATTAAGAATTTCAAATAGAGCAATAGTTTTTTTACCTTGCTTTGCCCATCAGATTAACCTCTGTGTAGGTGAAATCTTTAAAGAATCAACTGAGTTGAAAGTAGCATTGAATAATGCGATTAGACTTACAACTTACTTTAGAAATCCTAATCATAAATTTTTTATAGCAAAATTACGCGAACAGCAAAAAATTACTTACGATGGTAAAATCTATGCATTAGCAGCTCCAGGAGAAACCCGGTGGAACAGTTATTACGAAGTATGTTCAAGTTTTTTGAGAACTCAACAAGCGTTACAGGTAAATTTACCAACATGCTGTTAAATTCATTATTAATTATATTATATTTTAATTAATTTATGAAAATTTGATAATTTTAGATACTTGCAATTAATTTTAAACCACCTTTTAGTCAAGTTCGGCGGCAAGCAGGAGAAACTCCAACTATTTCACGTGAAATGTTTGAGATCATTGATTCTGAATCATTTTTGACGAACATACATTTAATTGTAGAAATGTTGTATCTATATTGCAAAATACTAGATATTCTTCAAAAGGATAAAGCGCGTTTATTTCAAGTTACACACTGTTTTGCATACCTTTTTCAATTTTGGAATGATCATGCGAATATTCAACTTGCTGCACGAATTCAAGTACGATTAGAAAAAAGATGGAGTGACTGGGAACAGCCACTACTTTTATTATCATGTTTATTACATCCTGAATATTGAATAGAACAATTCAAAGATAATGTAAATATCAATTATACTACTTTTGGTAAATGGCTTAAATACTATTATTGGGCATGGTCTGGAAAAGAATCCACCTGTATTTTACGTGAATTTGATGATTTTCGTTTGGGCAAATATCCGTTTGATGATGATACGTATAAACAATTTAATAATGACATCTGGAGATATTGGTGTTTTGCGAGAGTATCTACAAATGAATTAGGATTAGTTGCTTGCACATTATTTGGTATTTGTGTAAATGCTGCTTCTGTTGAACGTTTATGGAGTTGTATGGGTTTTTTGCAAACTAATCGTCTAAATCGTTTAAAGGTATTTAATTTTTTATTTTATAAATAATATAAACAAATATTAAATTAATATGTAAATTTTTTTTTAGTCATCAAAAGTTCTTAATATGAGTAAGTTAAGGGCAGATATAACATGGAAACATCGTATAAATTCTGATTCTTCAATTTTAACTCCATTAAGTATTATAACTCGTAATGAAGAGTAAAATAATAATGAAAAAGAAGTTGAAGAAAATCTAGTAATTATTGAAGAAGAAGAAGGAGAAGAAGAAGAAAAAGAAGAATAAGAAGAATAATAAGAAGAATAAGAAGATTTAGAAAAAGAATTTAATAATTATTTGCAAGGATGGTCAGAAATGTTAGAAGAAGAAACTTATGAATTTGGAGAAAATGAAAATGAAAATGATATAATGCAAATAACAGTTGATGATATTCTTCATCCTGCAATTGATCCTAATGCTAAATGGAATTTGAGTTCACTTTTTAAATAATTAGAATTTCTTTTTTAATAATAATTTTATAAATTGTAAATAAATAAATAAATAAATAAATATTATAAGATCACGTGATATAAATGTCCCAATGTCCCGGAAATTAAAAAATTTTTGTTTATGTCCATGGACTGTCCCGTCCCGTCCCGTCCTCGTTTCTGTCCCGTCCCTATGACAACACTGCATAGGGTAGATCAAAATACCCATTCAAATCCAACCACCAAGTTCACGTATCAATACATAACACCCGCATTTTTAGAGTTCAGTGGTTCTAACGATGCTGATAATACTGGGTGGAAGTTACTGGTAACAATTATGGAAAGCTCTCCGAACATCTTGGGATGGGTCGAACCATCACTGAAATTTGGCAATAATACTGTAAATCTGGTTCGATCCATTGGTGTTGGTAGAACTAGTGTTGTTTATCAAGGAAAACATGATGATGCACTCATAGCTGTAAAAGTTGCGAAAAAGGCAAATTATCTTCCTTGTTTTGAAAAGGAATATACCGCATTGAATGATCTGTCAAGTCTTAATTCCATTCATATTCCAAAAATCCTTTTTAACAGTGTGGATGCTCTTGTTATATCTCAAGTTTGTGAGAGAATTGGTAATTTGCGAAAAAAAGATATTAAAGATATCATCAGTACACTCGAAAAAGTACATTCACTTAATTATGTACATAGAGATCTTCGTAAATATAATCTTGTTCGCGATCAATTAGGAAATATTGTTATTATTGATTGGGGGTATAGCATAAAATTGGAGGGGAATCATAACTTCGCATTTGCTGGAGCGTTGGAGTGTATGCCAGATAACATCTTGCAATCAATAGTCAATGATGATGATATTAATTATGGACCAGGAGTTGATTTGACATGTTTGGTGCATTCATTCTATTTAATGCTTCATAGACCATCATTAGATAGAATTCCTTTCGATAAAGGGGATGATATCAAGAGTCGAGCACAGATGATGCTAAATTTCTGGATGGATTGTGGACGTTCGGATGTATGGGATAACATTTATAACGCAATAGAAATCTTAGACTACGATCAATTAATTCAACAGCTTGAAAGATTGTTTTAAATTGCTAGCCTCGGGTAATTTGGATTTTATTGCTAATTGCTATATCTCTTCTAATTTCTAATGGCATCAAAAAATTTAATGTAATATTGCTTATTATTTCCATCATATATATCAATAAAAATTAGTTTATATGACGTGATGTTAATAACTGTGATGTAGTTTTTTGCTTTTGTACTCCGCATATCATATATAAATAGCATCAATTTTACATATATAATGCATCGTATAAATAATAAATTTTCTTGATTGATTGCACGGGTTTACTGCGCCGAATGCCCGAATCGTGTCCAGACTCAGAAATAAATTTCTTCGGGAGGGAATGCTTTCCATTATTCCCTTGCCTTAATCTTAGAAAATATTTCGCTAAACAATTAGATTATATCCCGCAGAAGTTATGTTTCAAGTGTGATATCCAGTGTTAGCATTTGGCCGTGGCCAAGATTTTTTTGGCCATTTTGGCCACGGCCAAACGGCCAAATGCTAAACGGCCAAAGAAATAACTAGATAGGTATTAGTACCTTGTTGGCATTTGGCCGTGGCCAAAACTTTTTTGGCCATTTTGGCCTCGGCCAAACGGCCAAACGGCCAATGGCCAATGTGCCAACACTGTGATATCGGAATAACTCTTGCCGAAGAATAGTGGCTGTGCAACATGCGAATCACATATATATTCGTATTACTTGATTTGCATTTATTTTTTGCGCAGGCATGCTACTATCATACTAACAAAACAATATTCGGGTATGGATATTTTTCCAACAATCACTATTTCGCATATGGGATTTGGGGATGTGTATCTAATCCTGAAGTCATTTTTTTATAGATTAATGACGAAATGTAGTGCGTAATTGCTGGTGAAAATCCGGCAATATCTTACTCCCGCGACCTTATAAAATAAGCGAGAGCGCCAAGCTGAAAGAATATTATCTTTTTTTTTTCCGAAACATTATGTCCCGAAAAAACATTAACATGGAAAACCAAGAGAGCTCCGCTAATATAGGAGTCGAAAGCCCGAATACTCCTGATGATAACAATATGGAGGAGCACCCAGAGGAATCAGATACAGAAGGTCCATTTGATGTGGAAAATATCACTGCTGACGATATTTACAAAGTACAACTGAGGCGTAACAGATCCCTTAAATCCCTTGCGTTGAGTATACTAAAATATCTCCCAAAAGATATTCTTTGTGAAGAACCAGACTTTTCATCTATTAAATCAAATGATTTTATCCAGGATTATGAAGAGTGTCAAGAATGTGATAAGCCTATTTTATCAGAAGACCCACCTAAATCGCTCGTTTTAAATGTTTGTGGCGATATGATCCATCAGACTTGTGCGGGAAACCCTGATAAGAGGGGAGTATTATTGTGCCCATGTGGCGTGAGTGATGATAGAGATCCGTCATTGCTTTCAGAAGAAGAAATAAATGTGGACGGGAACGAAGAATCAGCTCGGCCAGAGGAAACCAACTCAACTTCCAACAGTGGAAGGAAGAAACGGGCTAATGAAGATACGGATTCTTCAGCTAGTCAGAAATCTAAGAAACATGTTCAACCGGAAGTCTCTAACATTTTAAAAAAGCTTATCCAGGAGTTATCTTCCGACACTACTCGCCTTTCAGAAATTAAAGAAAAGAGAGCACTTTATAGAGAAGCTGTACGTGAAGTTGAGAGTGATCAAACCCTTTTTGACCTATATTGAAAAATATCCAGGAGAGGAGTGAAAAGGCGCGTAATGAAGTGATCTTTGCATACTACTACTTTGGGGAGGAGTTAGAGAAACATCTCGCTCATTATAGGAAAACTAACGAAGAACATGAAGCAAAAAAGAAGCTCTATGATGCGGTTAAAGATCAGCTTCCTAAAGAGGTTACAAAAAGTGCTGTCCGAAAGAAAGCAAACAGGGCCGGGAAGGTTTATGATCTTTTTTTTCGTATTAGCGATGATAAGACTCAATGATTGTTCATCCAATGAATAAAGTCAATTTCAGCTACATCTATTTCAAAATTAAGTGATGATGATATCAAATACGTTGCATCTCAAGTTAGGAAGAATACTAGACAAAATTAGTCAGAATACGCGGGTTCAGTGCAGTGGTCACGGATATATAAATTCTGAGATGAGAACACGATGTCCGCTTCTCAAAGTTTAGCACTTTTTTTATATATTATATTGTAAAGCATAAATTATCTAATAAAGTTTTGCGGTCCCCGGAACCTGACCATATCAGATCTAATGTTTTTATCATGTGATATTATACACTCCCCTACAATAAATTACCAGATTTGACAAAATTTACATAGCAATTTTCACGTTGCATATAATAAATTTATGAATTTTAATAAAATTCGGCCAGAATTTTTTTATTTGAAAGTTGATCGTAGATAGTTTTTATGTATCAAAATNTTATTTGAAAGCTGATCATAGATAGTTTTTATGTATCAAAATAAATAAATATGATTAATTATAAATATAAAAAAATTTTCTCATTGCAAAATAATATAAAAAATTATGAAATTCTCACTTTTTTTCAGCAATGGGTCAACTTTTTAAAATTTTAGAAAATTTTCTTTATTTTTTAATACATGAAAACTACAATTGATTGGCTTTCAAATAAAAAAATTTTGACTAAATTTTATTGAGAATTCATAAAGTTTCATATAGCCCAAAAATCAACAATTTTACTAGTAAATCTTATAAAAATTTGTAATTACATAGTAAAATTAACAATAATTGACAAAGTTTAGTCTATATGAAACTTAATGAATTCTCTACAAAATTCAGTCAAACTTTTTTTGTTTGAAAGCCAATCAATTGTAACTTTCTTGTATTAAAAAATAAAGAAAATTTTCTAAAACTTTAAAGAGTTGACCTATTGCTGAAAAAAAGTGAGAATTTCATAATTTTTTATATTATTTAGCAATGAGAAAACTTTTTTATATTTATAATTAATCATATTTATTTATTTTGATACATAAAAACTATCTATGATCAGCTTTCAAATAAAAAAATTCTGGCCGAATTTTATTAAAAATTCGTTATGCAACGTGAAAATTGCTATGCAAATTTTGTCAAATCTGGTAATTTATTGTAGAACAGTGTATAGTCAAACCTTTATATAACGATATGTTGGGACTCATAAGAAAAAATTTAAAAAATATCGTTATATCAAATTATACCAATATTTATATGTCCTCACATATAGTGAAAATGTAAAATTTTATCGGTATATCAAGTTTTTAATAATGTATCAGTATGTCAAATATCGGTATATTAAGTTCTGACTGTATATGCTATAACCCTGTTTTAACCTGAATGAGCTAGTTCAGTGTAGTAGTCACGGGATATATAAATTCTGAGATGAAGACACAATGTCCGCTTCTCAAAGTTTGACTCTTTTTTTATATGTAGTATTGTAAAGCATGGTGCGGATGAAACAATAAAATAAATTAACTCTATATCAGGCTTTTCTCCTTTTTAATTTATGTGTATTAGTTTGTGTATCGCTATGTATCTGTAAATGCTGTATAACTGCTTATCAAATAAATAAAATCATAAGGGATCTGCATATGCACAGCCAATCTCGAATAAAAATAAATCTGATTGGTCGATCAGCTGTAAAAAATCTACATTATTTTAAACATTGTCTTTATTGATATAATAGTAGAACTACGTGATCAAATTTCCCAGTATATAGGCTTCAAATCTAACGAAATCTGTCTCCCGATCACAGAAGAGAATAGGCAGGTATTTTGTGAGATAATAGCAGATCATGAGAAAATGACAGATATCATAATAGATGACTATCAATTTTTGCTACATTATGGACATAATGGTAAAGGAAGTAACTGGATCTTTATTAACATGTTGTTATCCTGTCAACGATTAAAGCCGACTGAAAAACTTTAACACTTTAACAGGTTAACTGGAGTTTAACTTAATAGGAGAGTCTTAAGTTGATCACAAATAATCACATGAAATAACGTTGGATGTTCAGTTAAAGAAAATAGGTTTTTATTAAAATAATGTAAGATTTTGGATATGACGAAAATATAGATAATCTCTTAGTTGCGAAATTAACTATCTTGAATTATACTACTGGGAATAATACTCTTATTGTATAACTCGAAAACTACAATACAATTCTTAACTAACTAACGGACCTTCTTCCTATTTGGTAAAATCCTATCACTATTTATAATAAAATAAAAATCAAGAATATTTGATAAAATAAATAATAAATAAAATAAAATAAATAAATAAAATAAAATAAATAAATAAGATAAAATAAATATATCAAATAAATAAAATATAACAAATAAAATAAATAAAATTAATAAAATAAATAAATCAAATAAATCAAATATACCAGATTTATCAGATTTATCAAATAAATCAAGAAAATCAAGAAAATCGAAAAAATCAAGAGATTTACGAAATGATCTACAAAATTGATCTACATAAAATTACTGCGCTACATTTCTATTTTAACACTTTCCCCCCTTAAAGAATGAACTCCTGTGAGTCTTTAAATTTCCAATACCAATTGCTTAATTTCATTTTGTTTTAAAGATCTTATCAAATTAACAGTAGTATTAATGGTACAATAAATTTGAATAGGATTTGTCTCGAAGATATAATAAACATGAACAGAAATCCAATAATAATGTTCTGAAACTATTTGTCTAACTTGCTTCTTTGTTAATTCTTTTTGTTCAATAAGCTGTCCTAAGAAATATGCGAAAACTAGAGCTGGAATTCTTTGTTTTAGTCGTTGAGCTCGTAACAAATATCGGTAAGTCACATGAATTTTTGTTTTATCATCCATTTCGTCTGAATAAGGTTCGTGAGAACTATTTCCTTCAATTAATGGGTCTTGTAACACAATTTCGTAAGGCGTTATAATGAGAAAAAGTGAATCATAACAAAATAGAACGCATCTTTAAATAAGAATTTCATTGTCATACTTAATTAATTAATATTATTAATGATTAACTACTAATTTCGGTAGATCGTGACATTATTGTTCCACTAATTTAGTTTGATTGATATTTTGAAACATTTCTCCTTATTCTAAAAATAATTTTTTCTTTTCCTTAATTATTTCCACGTGTAATTATTATCAGCTGTTATTAAATTTTTCGCATCATTTTTATTATTTCGTCTAGAGCATATTTTGTCGCGTCATGTCTTTTTCTTATTTAAGAACCTAATTTTTCCTTTCCCCTTGTTCTTTACTTCTCCGCAAAATCTTTTCGCATATATCACCTTTATTAAAACTTACATATTTTTCCTAACATCCTTATTATTAAAATGGGCTGCCGTTGATCAAAAACATCCCAAAAAAAATCACAAGCTCGCTTTAAGGTCCTAAAGGCTGCTCGTAAATCACAACTTCGTCAACTTGAGGGTGAGTATTGCACGCAAGGTTCTAAAAATGTTTCTTAGACGGGGATAGCCTGCAGACAGGGTTTCGACCTTTATCCGGTTCTTGAACAGTTGATTTCTCTGGCTCTTTTCGACTTGCAGATGGGGTATTTATACCTCCAGGATATCTAGTCTTGAATGGACTCCTCCTGTAGAACTTTTTTGGACTATTGATTTATTCACTTAGTCTTTGACTAATTTGGTGTTTCTACTTTCCCATTTAATAACACAAGATCAAGTTCAAACGTTTCAGTCTGAAAATGATTCCTTACAAGCTGAAAATAATTCCTTACAAGAAGAAGTTATGACTTTGACAGAGTTTGGAGTTTTACAATCTGGATTACTCTATCAACAAGAAGAGCTAATTCATCAACAAGAGAAAGAAGCGCAATCCAATAACAAACTGTGGGCTATCGCCGAAGTAGAATGCTGGGAGGCCCAGAAAAAGGTTATTCAACAAGATGAAGAAATTGTCGGCTTAAAGGGCAAAGTAAAACAACTGAAAAGGGAGAACAAAAGCGCTATGTATAGTACAAAATATTTTGAAACTAAATATTATCACGCGATGAGTGTTATACAAAAATATGGTATGATTGTTGTTGACGATAGTATGCCTAAGTCTCCTTCACCCATACCTTCATCTTCATCTTCATCTTTTTCCTTTTCTTCTTATTATGATCAAATATTTGTTGCTGATGGTCCTGATTATATTAATGATAATAATGATAATAATAACGATAATGATAATGATAATAATAATAATGAACAATAATATTTTTTTCTAATAAAACTTTTTACTATTTTCAAATTATAACTATTGGTTCCAATCTTCGCTCGGGATATTTCTTAAGCCTATTTCCATGAATTACATGTTTAACTAATTTTCCGTCTAAATTTCTAAGTTTATAAACATTATCATTAAGCACTTCATGAATAAAATAAGGTCCTATCCACTTATTTTCTAATTTTACTGAGAAATTATTTTTAAGCCACGTTCGTTCTACTAAGACTTGATCTCCTATTTTCAATTTTTCTGAAATTCCTTATTGATCATATACTTGTTTTTGCTTCGCTTGTTCTTTTTCAATTCTTAACGAAACATCATTTCGTTCTTCTTCTAATTCGACTATTAATTGATAAATTCGTCTTTGTATTGGGTCTTTTTCATTTTGAGATATTTGCGATGGGATTTTTAAATCAATTGGCAAAGTTGCTTCTCGTCCATAAGTTAAATAAAATGGTGTTTTCCCATAGTATTATGTTTTTTCATTCGATATGCTAAAAGTACTGCATCGATTAGTTGATCCCATTCCTTATTATTATCTTGAACTAATTTTGCTATACATTCACCAATTGTTCGATTAAATCTTTCAACCATTCCATTTGTTTGAGGTCTATAAGCTGAGGTAAGACGATGTTTAGTTTGATAATTTTCACATAATTCATCAATTAATTTATTCATAAATGATGTTCCTCTATCTGATAGAATTTCTTGTGAAACTCCA